AAATTGTTTGTTCTTATCAACGAAATAAATCGTGTCATTATTAACAACCACGCATTATTAGCAATCATGCAAACAAAAGATATGTATAAGGATAGGCAGTATTATAATGATTCATTTTAATACAAATTTAATTACAATCACACACACACACACACACACACACACACACACACAAGAGTAAGTTTACGCTTTCAATCAAATAAATATAATTTTTATAAATAGACAAATATTAATTTCCAATCAAATAAATACTTTTTCTATTATAATGATATGCTTTTGATGATAATTTTACGGGAATTGTATTTTTAAGTAATAAAAAATTGATTCATGCTGTAATTAATATTTTTCAAAAAAAAGCATAACTTAAAAATAAAGCAAAGATCATTAATAATGAACACGGAATTATGACAATGGCGATGAAATATCATCCCTAGAGTGAAACTCGAGCGAAATCAATCACACGGAATAATCTTGATTATCTCAACGGTATCAGGAAATAGGAACACGTATACGCAACCGGTAATTTAGATTAAGCACAAAATGATTATTCTTTGCTACACTTGAAACACGTCTAAATGTCTCATCAATTTTAAAGAAAGATCCGCGCGTACGCGAGGGAAGACCTTTTTTTGTCGAATCGACGTCGGTCACTTGATTGCGTATATATGTCTCATGTATGTGTACATGTTGTGTATTCATGTATGCGTGTATTGCTTGTGTGTGCGTGTATCCCTATATGAATGACAGGCCAGCTCTTCGTTGATCACGAAAATCCCAACATTCGAGAATGCGCGTGAATTGAAAATAGAATTTAAAAAACGGTAACTTAGCGCGTAACAGCTCGTTTTATTCCATTTTTTTCTCAACGTGTGTCTCGTGTGTACGTGTGTGTATTTAATGAGTGAATGCGTGTGAGTGTGGATCCTGTTCGTGTACCTAATTGCACTTATTCGAAAAAACGGAACATAAGGTTGAACACAAGATGGCGGCCGGACGGCCCTGGAACGTATGTGTAGGTAATATACACCCTTGTTTAAATTTACTTTAATAAGAAACTCTATATACCGCTTTTGTCTCTATCGCGTTCGCTCTGTCGCCTCCGGTCAAGCGCGCTCAAACTAAATCCGTTTGCTGCTACGATAGTCTCATCTATTTTCGTTCGTGCTACTGTGCAAGTCGTAAAAACGTAACTTCATAACTTAGGCACAATTTGGAACTGTTTAGACCATTTTCACACGACCTCGTTCGCTGACGTCCGTGTGTCTGTCGAGTGTGAAGACGAGACATTCTATTTACGACGCCGACGGTAAAATAACATATAATATAACAAAAACTTGAAAATAAAAATATCGATAATTGTTAAAATTGAATGTTTCAATCTTGATGCACTTTTTCAGGTTAAGTAACCGATTATAGTACAATGATTTCATTACTATTATCACACATTTTAACATGTTTAGTAATTTAAAAATAGCTAAAATAATTACCGACATTTTTTACACATTTACACTCGTATTTGAAATAATATATATTACGTAAAAGATATATGCAATACTTTTACTATTAAAATTTAAATTTTTAAATAAACTCACTGCCTCGAAAAAAAAATTGTACTCTCGAATAAATTAGTATTTTTTTTATTGAATTATTTTTTATTCAATTATTGGCCAATTATATATAATTAATAAAGGGCAAGCAAAGATAGTAAGGCCGAATGAAATTTAATCACTCATTTGAGGAAGCAAGTCACAAATGTCTCTTTGTGCTCACATTCGTGACACACGAGCGTCTCTCGCTGGAACCATACCAAACGTGACAATATTGTGAGGTAGCTGACATTGAGCCGTTTCAGGGCCAATCGGACCAAATCTTCCAGTTTTCCATTATCCAGAATCGCGTTCGAATCCCATTCTACCTTCACGCGAACTGAAAGGGCGCTCGAGAGGGTCTCAATTCTCTCTCTCCTCCCTCTCATAAAGAAGCGAATGGAGAAAGAAAACGTGAGAATCCCTTCGTTTCCTCTCGTTCTGCCGATCGAGGCTCGATGAAAGCGGAAAGAGCACGCGCGCGAGAACGTAAAAAGATGTGGAAATGAAAACGCAAAAACGGGAATCTTTGGACCCGACTTTCCGAGCGATGCCCGCCATCTTGGTCCCGTCTGACCACCGGTGTGGATCAACGTAATTTCGCGATCACGCTTCTTCCATCTTCCTTCCTTCCTATTTATCTATCTATCTATCTTTCTCGCTCTCTTTCACTCTTTTTTTTACTCTCGCTCTCTTTCTCCCCCTCTCTTTCCCCTACTTGCTCGTTTTGTCCCGTTAGTTCTCGGTTTGCCTTCTTACTCGTTTTTACTTTGTCTTCGCGCACACCATAATTACAATAGTCTTTATTCTTTTTATATATATAATATATATATAATATATATCCGTAATCTTATTACATATATACTAGCTGGTTACAATAATTTGTGAAAAATATACATCAAAATTTTGTTACTTTTTACATCACAGATATTTTAATATAATATATCATCTTTTAATTCTTAAAGATTTCTGTTCCTCCCCGTATATTCGACCAATCCGTCACTCGCCGGATTGTTTAGCGTATCGCCCGCGACGAAGGGAGAGACGACAGGATGTACAAGCGCGAACGGAGCGAAGAACTAAAGGATTCTTTTGAATTCTTCGATCGCGAAGAACAAATTTACATATTAAGATATTTTTTATGCATGCGTTTTATTGCATCGCAGTACCATAATTACCGTGTATTTCAAACAACAAAATTTCTAAGGTAACAAATATCTTAAAAAAAAAAACATAACGGAGGGGCATTTAAAAGACATCCTGATTTTTCGAATGTCTTTTAGACGCCTTTCGCATTTCTTCTAGATTTTTGCATTTTCTTCGAATAATAATTTCGAATATGCATTTTAGAGATAACGTTACAGAAAACGTCGAATTTCTTAGTAATTGTCTTCGGAATCGAACGAGAATTGCCATTGCACGGCACACGAATGGAAACGCGTGCATAAAAGAAACCTTAAGCTCGATTTCTCAATAACATGGAGAACAACGATACGATTTCGACTTGAGAGAAGCTTCCGTCATGCCTTCGTCCCGCCGTCTCCCCCAAAAAATAAAGAACGAAAAGATCGACAGTGCTTCAACAATCGCGTCTACAACGGTACATGCCTAGCCTCGAGTTCTCTCATATCCCTTTCCCCGACGATCGCGCGTAGCAAATTTCTAAAGAAAGAACGGTAGTTCCTCTATAGATTTTACTCGAAGGAAGTCGCCAAAAAGATAGACAAATATCTCCCTCGACGTCAATAATCCCTCCCTTCTTGCGTGAAGGAACGAGACCTTCTCTCGCGTCTCATCGATCGCTCGTCCGGATGGCGATCGCGCTTTATCGCGAAATCGCTATGAGTGTTTTATAAGTATCGCGCCAGTATGAGAATCTTCGACGTTGCCGCGAGAGAAAAAAGTGACGTATGTATATGCGGGCGTCTGTAGGTAGTCTAAACTGTTATGGCAGACACGTCGATGTGTCACTGGGAGATCATTACGCGGACGTATCGTTAATTACGTCGTCGATCGTACTAATTGTCGCGACCTAATCGTCCCTAAACTACGCGGGCGAGCCTTACGCGTATTGTTCTTCAGTCCGCGTCGTCGAAAATCACCTCCTTGGTTGCAACGTACACGTATAATACGTGCCTTGCATGGTTAATGATTAATTTCATCAATATAGTCATTATAGTCTTGTCTATTTTTTAAATTTACTCGTAGATAACACGCAGATATAACAAATATTTTATATCTTCAAAAAATATAGTTAATCATTTTCAAAGAATTTTAATCACACAAACAACAAATTATTATTTTATTTTTCACCGAACATTAATTATACTAGATTTATAAAGACATCTAATGAAAGGATTCCATTCATTGCCTAATTTTAACCATTCTTAATTGCAATGTTCTTAATTGTAACGTTACTCTCTTTTATTCCGGCCAATTTTCGTCTAGCTAACGAATATGTGTGAAAATTACAGGTACCAATTGAATAACACATTCTATAGAGAGAAAACCACCAATAATTTGATCGTCGTTTGCTTCCCGAATTTGATCCAATTACAAGCAACGATGAAAAGGACAGGTATCCGTAGTAACTGCGAATTATTTTCGGCGACACGGACATCGGACGCGAATGGCCTCGTTTGTCCCACATTTGCCTGCGCGCTTTCTAACTTCCCTTGGTGTATCATCTTTTCTTTCGCGATAAAAAAGAAATACCGAAAGACGTACCGCGTTGCACCAGATGGATCGTGGAGATTTGAGATCCGCCGATTATAGACCGCACTAAACGTCGCGACGAAACATCGTAACCGTAATTGAATTAACGACAATCATAGTGTACGCACGTTTACTATCATCCGCACGATAAATATCATTTTTTCACATCTAACGATAAATCTTTCGATAAAGGATATCGGGCTTGAATTTCTGGGTGTATCGGTGATGCGAATTTGCGGGTATAGGTTTCTGGGTGGGCTTTGGATTGTGGGAGGGTGATAAAGGGATAAGTGAGTTAGTAGTCGGAACAAGTGTATAAACATATTCCCCTCCTTTTCGCATAATAATGCCTGGTGAACGTTTAGAAAAAGACTTCGAGGCATCGAATAGGACAGATCACACCGAGTGATTTATATACTTCATCAAAGGTGTGTCTGCGAGGAAGTGAGGAGTAGGTGAGGAATAAAAGGGAAGAGAGACACAGGCGGTGGTGTGGTGGTGGACAGTTAAAAAGTGACTTAGCGGACACAGGGCGAAGGAAGGTTTAAATTTACGTTTACACACAATCATAATTAGCTTGCATTTCGCTTTGTTGCTGTTCAGCTTGTTTTTTTTTTAACCCTAAGGAGACCTTAACGTTTACACTCAATAACTTGTTTCCGCGTTTACGCGCGCTTTCTTTAAAGTTACATTATTCACGGTTTTTTGCTTTAAATAGGGTAAATTTTAAGTTTAGTTCCAAAAAACACCGAGAGAGTAGCCTTGCCTATATGGTTTACTTTTTTCGTAGGTATAATTTTTTTTGCATTAATAAGGAATTTTTGCATTTTTAAAACACCGAACATACATGCCTTATACTTTATGTACAGCCTAGAGTCTTTCAGTCGTTACTTTTAAAGAGAGTCATGAGATGAGTGCGTGTGGATCATCCTTTTTCACTTCTGCTGCTCTATCCTCCTCTTTTCTGTATATTTATTCGCGTCATTTTCCCGCAACTACGCTCGACTATGCGAGAAAAATAGGAAATCCTGGCCCGCACTACAGTACCATTTTATTTTTCTTTTTGTCGCCGTTTTCTCGCGTTCGTCTGGCCTCCGATCCTTCCTACTCTGACTTTCGTCTCTGTCAATTTCGTCTTGGTCCAACGGTCTGCCTGCTATATTAACTGAAATGACGAAATCACCATTTTAATACTAATCGCGGATCATCTCTCTATAAAATTCAATTTTACCCGAAAGTGATGCGAAGCCAGTCGCGCACGTCGTTAAATTATTTAGGAAATATAAGAAAATTTCAATTTTCAATTATACAACTTCAATATTTTTTTATAAGGGTATTTCCTTCAGAAAATATATATTAATTCTAAGTAAAGTTATCCAGTTTCAATGGAATTGTCTTTAATATACACGTACCTGAAATTAAAAATATTTTTTTTAAGTCTAGATTACAAATACGTTTATTCTAATTAAATTATCATCTTAATTAAATTATCAGACAAAATTTTGACTAAAAATCACGTATTGACGTTTGCATTTAAAATTATTTCTTTCTTACGATAATTATCAATTGGTAAAAATTCAGACTTCCGTCAAAATTCGAAAAAGTTTTATAACGAATTAAAAAATTTACCCTATAAAATTTATTTTAACACTTGAGTATGGTTTCTGTATCACAATCGCGAGCATAACTGGACGTGCATGACCGTGTGAATCCACAGAAAACCGAATGAGAGAGAGACGTGTGGTCGCTTGAAACGTCGATGTTCGTCATTCGTTCGATATTTCGTCGTTACTTCAAAACCGACAGCGGACAATCGAGGCGCGCTCGAAGTGTCTGCCCAAAATCCGTCCCGACGCGTCACGATGAGTCTGCTGGTTCCTAATGCATATATATCGCTCGCGGAAACCGCGATGTGTGAGAAACGAAAACAGAGATTAAAACATTCCTAGATTTAGTAAGTCTTTTCCTTTGCGAAGAAACGATACAACACTGCCTCCGCTCGCGCTGCTGCAACCGCAGCTTCTTTTTATCTCTTTTTTTTTCTTTTCTTCTCCTCTACGCAGTAGAAAATTTGTATTCGTATCAAAAAGTGGGCGTCTCGCGCTTTAAGAAAAACGTCTGCGCTTCCGGTGTCGGAGAAATCGAATCGAGAGCCGGCGCGCGCGCGCTGCAACAGTATCCTTTCCTCTTATCTCATGTTCTGATTTTGAGTTCGTATCTTTCTATCTGGATTCGGACCGCGATTTAATTCCATAACGCGACGCCGAAAGATCGCGATCTTCGTAGCCGTAATTGCTGACAAAAAAAGAACTTGTGAAATTATTTTCTTCTTAAAACTCTCTCTATGTAAAACAGAGGATTAAAACTGCATATACAACAACTAAAAGATCTCTAACTTAATATTATTTTAAAATGCTATTTCTGACATATAAATTCTTAAAATAAACTCTTTTTATTTTTTTTTTTGTGTCAAAAAGCTCGAAATGCTTCATGCTCATTTAAAAAATATTATAATTATAAAACATTAGAAAAATTAGAATCTTTTACACTCGTTATACATATAGACGTAAAAAAAAAGAATTCCATAGATAAACAAACGTAGACATTTGTCTTGAATGTGCCATTATATTGATCAAGAACATTACTCGCAACTTTGTAAGCAATTCTCAACAACGAAGATCGCATCTCGGTACTTTTTTTGCATTCCTCCCATTTTGCCGCGTTCACGCCCGAAACGTGGGACGCGTTCACGTCAAACTGCTGGCCTCGAAATAACCGAGAATATAGAAATATTGTCGCCTCGTGAAAAAGAAAAACGCGTCAACTGCGCGCGCCAACAAAAGCCTTGGCTCGTTCTCGCTTCGCACACGTTCGTAATGACCAAAAAATATATGTATATATAATATATTATTCCTTATATAATTATGTCGCTTCCTTAGTTAAGTAGTGTTTAAATAGTAGATAATAAGTTTTTTTTTCTTTTTGCATTAGGTAATTTTACACTCACAGAGGAAAAAAATATGCTGTCGCGTCGGCATTTTTGTTCCATCGTTTGACTTTTCGTCGTCGTCAACCGATTGATAGTGGTTGCAGTAATTAATAATCATAATAATAATCATCGAACGGCTAACATTTTCACGTTGCATGTGTCCACGTGTGCGTCACACGACGTTGCGACCAAGCATCCTTCGACCATCAAGTCCACGACGGTCGCGGGACTCGACGAATTCGTATCTGACTCTGAGTCACCGCGTCTATCGTAGAAATGGGTTTCGCATCGGCGCAAAATACACGTAATCCGCAATGCGATTCGGCGATGCTTGAAGGTAAGATTTCGGGCAACGCCGCTATAACGACATGTGCACGCGCGCAACGCCTAAATATCTCGTTATGTTCCCCATTTTTGTATACTCGCGTATATGTACTCGTTTGTATATTACGTGTATGTGTGTATATGTGTGTGTGTGTGTGTGTGTGTGCGTGTGTGTGTGTGTGTGAGAGAAAGAGAAAGATATTTGTGTGTGAGAGTGTCTCGTGGAATGTCGGGCTCGTAGAAACGCGGTCAGAATGGGTCCTTGCGTCTACTAAAGCGTGTCGCGTGTAAACAGTCGGCACGATGAACATGTCGCGTGTGTCTTTTATCCATTACGTTCTCGGTATACTCCGGTGCGAAATGTATTTTCGCCGTAAATCGAAAGGGTTTTCCTACACGCGCGCCTAATACCAGGTTGGCCAGGGGCCGTGGGCCAGCCGGACGCGGGTTCGTACGGCGGGTATGCGCTAACTGGCGGAATCGCAGTGGGTTTACGGTATAGGTTGTGCTTAGCATTTATGCATCGCCACTTTTTGTTCTCCCCTTCTTGCATTGGACTTGCCTCGCAACATTCGAGGTTTCT